AGCACGTGGGGTGGGGTCTCTGCCCTGCTGCCACTTGCCCAGCTGGAGTGGGAGGGGTGGGATGCAGGCATAGCTCGCTCTAGGCGGAAGAGGGCAAGCAGCAGCAGGGCATAGTCCCCACTCCCAGTGCTGCCGCACCTGCATCCCATGCCCCCCATGCCGGCTGCACAAGCAGCAGCAGCACAGGCCCCACTCCCAGTGCTGATGTGGATATGGCAGTGTAGGAAGTGGGGGCTATGCCCTGCTGCTTCTTGCTCAGCTGGTGTGGAGAAGGGACATGATGCAGGTGCAGCTCGCTCCAGGCGGAAGGGGGCAAGTGGCAGTAGGGCATAGCCCCCTGTCCCAGCACTGCCATGCCTGCATCAGCACTGGGAGCAGGAACTCTGCCCTGCCACCACTTGTCTACTGGCATGGGAAGATGGGTGCTGCTGCTACTTAGCAGCTGGACTGGGAAGGCACGGGAGGGGAGGGCGCTGCTGCCACTTGCCAGCTGGTGCAGGGTGGGTGCAGGGGGGAGGGTGGGCACTGCCATCACTTGCCAGCCAGTGCAGAGAGGAGTGGGATACAGGTGCAGCAGCACTGGCAGCAGAGGCTATGCCCTGCTGGCACTTGCCCCCCAGCCTCCCAGGTGGTGTCTAGGGGTGACATCCATTCTGCAGTTCCATACCTCCTCTACACTGCAGCCCATGCCTCACAGATGGTATCCCAGGCACCTAAGCTCACCTGGAGCCTCACAACTCCACTCCAACCAGCAAGTCTCAGGCCTCTCAGAGATCTTACAGGTCTGGGCTTTCCCTAGCCAGGACTGTGTGTAGATGTGGTGGCTGGAGGTTATAAGGCTGGAGGAAACCCGCCTTTCACCAAGGAGGTTTGTGGTCCTGGCATTTCTTGGGGGCTGCCGCACCACCAGCAGTCCCACCAGGCCTCCCAACCCTGAAAGGGTGCAGTTTTAGGTCATGCCCAGGACTTGGGGCATTCTCCTTCCCCATAGCCCCAGTTCATACCTCCACGTTCACCCTGGGATGGGAGCTCAGTAGGGAGATGTTCTTCCCCTGCTGACTGGTGACTGAGTGCTGCCTCCAACTCTGAAAATGGGGCATTAAATGTTTTTTTTTTAATCAAAAAAGGAAACAGGTGCGGACGGAGTGAGGAGGGTGGTCCTCATTCTGTCTGCATAAAGAGCTTGGGGAACCCCAGCAGCAAGAGGTTCACCTTGAGGAACACCAGCTGCTCCAGCAAACCAGGATCCAAGGAGGTATGGTGGGGTGTCACAACATCCCCACCTATGCTAACCACCCTCTCTCTCAGAACACTGGTCGGTGGACAGGACAGGTGTTCCTGGGCAACCATGGCCAGATCCTGCCACATCTGGCAGCGGCTTTCCCAGTAGGACAATGGGTCACAGAGTAGCAGCTCCATATCCTTGGCAAGATGGGTAGCCACCGAGGCCTCAGCACTACCTGCACAGTACTGGACTGGAGTCTGGTGAATCTGAACCGCAACATGGAAGCCATGCTTTTGGCTCACATTGGCAGCACCTGTGGTGGAGGAGATTGGCTGGTGGATGGAGTGCTGGCATGGGACAGTGGTTCCTCCTCTTCCACATCCCCCACCTCTGCCCTTCTCCCTTGCTGACTCTGTTCATCAGGACCTCTGTCCAGTGATCCAGGGTTTGCTGGTGCACATGCTCCCCTTCACCCTTGGGTCGCACATGGCCGCCAGCATATGGACCATACTGGACTGGAATGGATCCAGCCATTTCTTGATGCCCTCCTTCAGCTACTTCACCAGTGCCTGCACATCTGGTGACAGTGGTGGACCACCAAGATCTGGGAGATGGTGTCCCACTCCATTTTGTTAAGGGGGCCACTGATCTCACTCTCCCCAAGCATGGCCTTCTGTTGCTCCACCAGCCTCTAGAGTATCAGGTATGTGGAGTTCCACTGGGTCTCCACATTCTGCATGATTTTGTGCTGCAGGATGCTCAGCTCTGCCTGTTTGTCCCGCAGCATCTTTCCCCGCTTGATGCTCCGGTGGAAGTAGCCCACCACCTTCCTGCATTTTGAAATGAGCTGGCTGGTTGTGACAGCACCCTCACCAGCAGCCCTGTCCCCCTCCAAGGCATCCCTGCCTATGAGGCGGAACTTGTGCGCCACACAGCGGATGCCAACAAAGTTGGCATCACGCACCACCTTGACCATATTGGCCCCATTGATGATGACCATGAACCAGTGGGTGATCCCCCCCTGCACCATGCGGTTCATGGCCCCCATGATCACTGTTGCCATGTGGGACTCATCCATCACTTCCACTTGAACCAGAGCCCACTGACAGCCTAACTGATCACACTAGTGCCCTGTGAGGAAGAGGTAAGCATGATCTCCACACCGACTGCTCCAGATGTCCAAGGTGAAGTATAAGGCCACCTGCAGACCGGCTTTGTGCAGCTCCTCCCTCAAGTACTCCC